GCTCCTTGCTTTTTCTGGAAAGTGACTGGATTGGGTTCGCAGGTGTCAAACATAGAATCCCATACCATCTAGTTCAGCGACGTATCGTCCACAACACTTGGCTTTTTCAGTGATAATTGTTAAAAAAAAGTAAAGTAAACATCGCAAAATGCCTGACAAAAAAAAAAAAAAAAGAAAAAAAGAGAAAAGGGACACCCCCAGCCGAGGTTTAAACCCGTCCCTACTGCGTGTGAAGCGGATGTCTTTCCACTGAGCTACTGAAGGAACTCTTTCATAGGTACTATTGGAGCCAGTAGACTGTATGTCCGAAGTTTGCTGCCGCTTTCCCTTCAATACATGCACTCCCGGCTTAAAGTCGGGCAGCACCACGCATAGGCCACATCGCACCTCGTAAAGAAACCGTACGCGTGCGTATTCAACTCGAAGTACGCACTTCGTGCTTGACGTTTGAGCGAGCGATGTCTTCAGCCACGAGAAGGGACGACGGCTCGGCGACGTCCTCGTGCAATCGGCTTGCTGGTCGGGCGTGTCGTACGGGATGGACATCCGTTTTTTTTTTATCGGTCCGAAATTTCTCTTTCGAAGGACGACAGAATTCGCCGGTACCGTGAACGACAGTTCTGAAGTAGAGGTCCAACGCCCGTCGTCCGCAGCCATCCGCTAGTCCCACGATACGCAAAACGACGCCATGTTGAGAATTATGCAGTGAACGCACATAATGCTTTTGGTTGTCTGTGCTACCTTTTTTTTCAATCAACGTATCTGCAGCTTTTAGGAAGCCACTAAAAATGGGTTTCATATTTGTTTGTATTTTTAGCATAGACTGTGTGCCTTCAATAACCGACGACTTTGATTACATTTGGTGGTCGCATCGATACCTTAGAAAACGACCCGTGACCACGGAAAAGAGAGTGAGCGCGACTCGAACCGGCCAGTTCTCGATCGGCGGTTTTCGGGTGGAAAGAAACCGAATTTCGAGCTGCAAATTCTGTTTTGGGTAGTTGGGCTCTCATATGTCACGTACAACTAGAAACCTCGGCGAGCATAAATACCCTGTCAGTGTCCCTTTAATAGAATGCATATTCTCCACGCAAAAAAGCGGTCCGCTGATATGCGATACTACATACGATACCCATACCAGGCCATTACTTAATAAGCTTAACATCGTTCAAATCATAAATCACTGTAACCATCAGCTTTTTATCACGTACCAAAGGTATATTAGTCACAATAAAATGTATTGATATCAATTCCCAGCCTTAAGATTAGGGATTTGTCGCAAAGGAGACAGTTTGTTGGCGAGCTTTAAGAAAAAGAGAACAATTATTTTGCACTGTGAAATGTCTTTAAAGACATATCAGAGCAAATATCAGAGCATATGAGCGCAAAGCGTCGTACTAAGACCTCGACAGACGCACAAAGGCGGGCTAGAAAGGCGAAGGAGAAAACCTTAGTGTAAAGACTTCGCTGGAAGGCCAGGGCTCACGAACTCTAGGCAAGACCGATTCAAGGCGTCGCGTCGTCACGACGATATACTATACTTCGTTCACCCCTAAGCAGACAGTGCGGTGGGAGCTGCAAGCTCAACAGAACCAATCAACGAGCTTCCTTTGATCACCTGACCCGTCCCTTTCTCTGCGCGTGAATATGAACGAGAGCGCGGTTACGTATCTGAGGGTAGACGTGTGACTGTTCCAACGAGCATGTATAGCTTCCATCGCACTGTAAGCTTAGGGGCGAACGGTTGATAGGCTACAAGGCGAAGGGCACATGAGGTCAACACATTTGAAAACCTGAGAGGACAGGACAAACAGATCCCCAACATTCTTGCTCTTTCGTCAAGCAAGGTCAAACCGTAAGCTTCAACCACTGGAATCAACAAACGACCGGAATGAATAGTTCATTCTAAATGCTTTGTCAAGGATCCAGAACGTTTCGTGCGTATCCCTTGCAGTAAAGGTGCTTTTTGCAGTCGAAAACGACGGGAATCGAGGAAGGCAGATGCCGCTCGCGGTATTCCTCGCTTTGTTTCCTTGGGACGTTTATTTGGGAAAAAGCCTACGAGCAGGTATCGCCACGTGTTTGTGGGGAAAGTAGACATTTTAGCGAAATTGCGCCGTCCCTTTCCTCAACTGGCGACGCTTCCGCCTGTACTCCGTTTCAGGTTACGCCCGGCCGCAGCGGATGCTACGAGCCTTCGGAACCAACCGAAAGCCGTGTCACTTTCCTGTGACCTTCGAAAGGACGCGCCGTCGGGCGCTGCGCTCACCCAGCTGAATCGGCTGGGATGGCTCGTGGCTTCCGCGGCGGCCGGACCAAAGGTGAAACGGAGTAGAGCAAATCTCCATCCCCCTTGTGTGACAACGCGCAAGAACTTGGGCTGGTGTTTGGGAAATCTACTCCTTGAGAGAGTGACCGGGAATACGTCAACTAGTGCCCTTGGGAGAATAGGATCAGATTGCTTCCGAGGCGGAAGGGAAACGTTTCGCGTTCCCCTTCTAACCTAACCAAAGTGGAAACGTATCTCTTTTTGACTGAGGACTTTCACCGTTGAATGAACAGCGAGACCGGTGAGTCGACTGTCTTTGAGTCAAATCTGAAGAAGCTATTCATCATGTTGAACACTTGTGTCGCGTGCGCCAGCGGAACGACTGTTCTATATGGCTCACCTCACCTTGAGACACATAAGGCTGCTGCGGTGTGTAAACAGGAAGATCTGAGTTTTGGTAGATATAGTGTAAATAAAATTAGCCCAAATTACCGCCTCAAGGCATCGAAAAATAATGTCGAAGTAATTTCATTACTTTTGGAAAGTAATTGGAATGTCAATACTTTCATTCTGTGGTAATTTGTAATGTATGTTAATTACATTTTTCCTGTTTTCTGAAAAGTAATTAGTAAGGTAATTTAATTACTATTCGAAAGTACTTTTGCCCTCTCTGATGCCGGTGTCGCCATCTCGTTGAGCTGATTCAAAAGAAATCTGTCCTATCGAATTTATTTCTACAATTTACGCAAATACTACAATATTTAGCCGTCTCGCCATGTTCTTAAAATTAAGATTGGAGAAGCGTCTAGAACGTGCAACAATTCGTTTTGCCACTTTGTCCTTCTAAGTAATCTTAATTTGAAAATTCTCCAAAAACACGTTCAAAACAGTCAAAATAGTCATATCACTGGATTCTTATTAAAAATCTCCAGAGCTCCCAGGCGATAATCAAAGGGTCGTACTAGGTCTTCAGAATGAACCTCAAAAAGTTTCAATACTCTCGTGCATTCCTGAAACTCATGTTTGTGTAGCGAAATTCACCCATGGAGTGACGAGCCGGTGAATCACCCTCAAGTCGCACACATCGACGCTTCCGGTAAAATCACTCTAAGAACGTGTTTTTATTTTATCTATTATGATGAACTGACTGTCGCATATGCCAGCGACACAAACAAGAGCTTCATTAACTGCACAGATACTGTTCTCTTCTACAATAACGAACTTTTAAAAAGGATATGAACTTTACCGACTATAGTATTCGAGACTTACACGTCCCTTCGGAAACAAACATTCCTAATGATTTATTCATGCGGAGAGACTTTCGCAGCCTCTCGAGATGCCCGAATATTGAAAGAAATGACTAAGGTAAGAAGTTTTTAAGAAGCTCACTTACAAAAACCTGAATTCTTTCCTTTTCTGGAAATGGTCGAGATCATTGCATGCTGTGTGGACGCACTGAGTGAAAATGTACTCCAGGGCTGCGGCTCGAGAAGGCAGTCCTCTCAACGCTCCACGCCATTTCTATCACTCTGTGCAAGCACTTTTCCACTTTGCAACCTGGTATGATTATGTATAAAAACAAAACAAACAAACAAATCTATTTTTGCGCAGTGATATCGAGCTCACAATCATGCGGTTGTTGGTTGGATTCCCGTTGCAGCGTAATTAGAAGTTGTTTTTTCTTTCTCCCCAATTTATCCGTCTTTTGTAGAGATTTTCCGCGGAGGTACGTTTCGGAACGGTTTCCGTGGCTCCTCATCCAACTTTCTCTTGAGGATCCAGCCCTTAAACACATTAGGGAGTTTTAGTAGATGGTTTTCACTTTCCGCTCCGAGCATGCCCAACTGCGCATGCGCAGCTGGCTACGCTCACACTCAGAGCGCATGCTTACTGGTGATTGTGCCGCTCCGTAGAGCGGAGCACGAAATCGGCAATTTAAAACTCGGTATTCTGTATATTTTTTTTTTTTGCAGCTGAAAATTGTTGTTGTTGGTCATATACCGAGAGACAGCGGATATGCTTGACAAAAAAAGAGAGAAATGTTTCGCCAACAATGTGCGAAAAAACGAAAGCGATTGCGATAGCACGCATACCTTCGGACGGAGGTGCGACGTGGTTAATTCTCATAGCCGTCGTAATTTGCGTCGTAGATGCCACTGTCGACTGCCATGAGTGCTCGGTGATCCGTGAAAGTAAGTGGATAAGCGCGGTGGAAGTTTCTAGAACCATCTAACATTACGCCTAGCAACTGGATACTGCTAAAGTGAGATTTTGTATAACGCGAGGAATGTTTGGAAACAACTGTTTGAAGCGGATGACACGAATATTTCTCCTTCGTCACGCCTCTTTTGGCGGGACGCCCAGGGCTGCTTTCTTCGCTCTCTTTGCGCGACACGGCCGACGGGAAGTCCCGACTTCGCTCTCCTCACGCCAAGAGGGGGAGACGAGTTTTTTCATTGCGGCGACGACAGCCTACGAGCTCGAAATCTCTGCAAAGTATCGCCCGTAAAAGCTGTCGCTTTAATATCGCTTTAAAATAAAGGCGCGCAGATGTAATCCAGAACTTTTAGTGGCACTGAGAAGGTGGTTGGCGGGATGATTTTTTTTCTTTTATTCTTACTTATATACAGGATGATAAGATGCAGCCACTAGTTTTATTAGGCGCACTGTTCCAGCCGGAGAGAGTGCCGGCACCTTGTGTGCTCCCCGCCGGAAGTGCGTGGCTGGATCTTCAGATCGTCTTGGAGGCCCCTTCGACCTCAGCTTGATCTTTGTGCTTTGCGACGGGCTGGACCGGCTTTCTGGCGGGGTCGTCACCTGGCTGCGACTCTTTTTTCAGATTTCCGGCCTCGAGTTCTTTCTTGAGGCTCTCCTCGATTTCCTTCATGAGCAGTGCTTTTGAAAATGTTGCCTGCCGCTCCCCGCTGGCAAGAGCTCCCTCGAGCTGCTTGTTCAGCGCCTTTTCGATCTCTTTCATGAGTTCCTCGGGAACTTCTTTGTCGACGCCGTCGGAACTGCTTTTCGCTGCCGGTTCAGCAACCTGAAGCTCGGAAACCACGGGAACGGGCACTGCGTCCTTGGGTGCCGATTGGATAAAATCCTTGGTGAGCACGACAAGCCCGTTGAGGGTCGTCTTCTGAGCGTCTTTCGAGGCCTGGAGCTTTGTCGGGGTGAGTGGCCGATCGGTGGGTTCTTTTACCGACTTCAGAGATGCTTTTTTTCTGGGTACCACGACGACCTTCTTACGAGGAATGCGCTGATAACTTGTTTCAGTGACTTGTGGGTAATCTTGAGCAAAGGCAGCTTCCAGAGTCTTGAGCAACGTGTCTGGTGCTGGTTCTCTGAAGCTGCTTGCTGCTTTCTTACGGTGTCCGGGAACCTCCTTGTGCGCTCCCTTGTAGCGAGACATGCTCCGGATGACGGTCTTTTTGAATACACCCCCTTGAGGAGCTGCGATCGGCTTGGCTTGCTTGCCACCCGCTGAAGGGTCCCCGGAAACCTGCTCGCTCCTGTCTTCTACCCTGGACTGTTTCCGACGGCTTCCTTTCTTGGCTTTGTTCCCTGCGATGAACGCGGTGCTTTCCACCTCAGTGCCACCCTGCTTCGATTGTTTCCTGACTTGCTTGGCTCGCTGGTACTTGGCCGTCGTGTACCTGTGGTACGACCTCGTTGTCGTTGATGGCGGAGTCGTCGTAGTGACCTGCGTGACCGGCGGTGGTGGCTCAGTCCTGGTAGCAGGCTTCACCTCCTTCGTTAACTTGTCTTTGGGTTGTGCGTTGCGTGTGGCTTCCTTCGAGACGGCGTAAGCTTGGTTGTCCTCCTCGTAGAACCGTTCGGCTTTTCCCATCTCTTCGTCGGTGAGGAACAGTGCATCCTCGTGGCCGATGTTCTCGTTGACGGCGTAGAAATCTGGCGCGCTGGCGCAAGGCACGGCATCGTCCGGGTAGGTGCAGGTGAGTGTGAGTTGGTCGAACATGGTCATGTTTCCGCACATGAAGCTATATAGCTGGTAGCGCGGAGGTCCCATGATCTTTGGCATCTCGTGGCATACGTGGAACACCTGGCAGTTGTTGTCGACGTCGGCGAAGTAACCGCTGCCACGGCACCGGAAAGAACTCTTGAGCATGCCCACCACGAACTCGGACCCGTCCGGGAGGCTGTACGATTCGCGCCTTTTCTGCGAAAACAGTTATGGAAATATCGCTTTATTCAGATCGTTGGATTGACACCCTACAACCTAAAAAAAATGAAGTAGTATTTCCTCTCTTAAAGGAGGAGCTCGCGTGTCCCCTATGCTCCTTTAGAAAGGGAGGGAAGTTGCTTTTACAAACCGGGGAGAAAATTTGCTCCTTCAAGATGGGAGGAAAATTGCCACCTGCTTTTGCTCGTGGAGAAAAAGTTTCTCCCAAAAGAAGGGAGGAAAACTGCCACCTTTTTTCTCCCAATGAAGGAAACTTTCTCCCCTTACTCCCCAGAAACGCTCAAAAGGGGGAACAAATGTTGGAGAAGCGCTAATTTTTTTTTTCAATTTTCCCCGACTTTTAGACGCTATATGGCAGATACATATACCTCACTGAACACGCAGAATAGAAAGAACACAAGCAGAACAGCATCCAAACAACAGCAACAACGCAGCGACACCATACAGCCACGCTTCCCCGCGTATATGAAGACGTGGGTTTCTGGCGGGCACTGTTAGTATATTAGTAGGAACATGAAAAGAAAAAGTAGTGCCAGAGGAAAAGAGAGGAACGACGTTTCCACCAAATGGTAGTATTTCCTGACAGCCGTTTGGTGGAAACGTATTTCCCCTCATTTCCTCTGGCACTTTTCTTTCCCTTAATTTCTCAACTTACTCTAACTTCGCTTTATCTATCTATGTATATGGTAGTCTTATTTTTGAATCCGACTTGGCCGATCACTGCCATCATTTGTCGCATATACACGGAGGCGGAGCAAATATTACTTCTACTTAATACTTATTCGAATCGCCTCCTGGAATAGTCCCATCTCTCACACATTGAAAAAAGCAAATGTAGATCATTAGGCTAATCAACTCAAATTTAATAATTATATATTTTTCATAATAGTTTGATTAATCATGTTGACAATGCAGTGTCGAAACGCAGTACACTGGCGCTGAACATTGCAATCAAGCTACTGCTTGGTTGCAGTGTTCTGCAACAGTGAAGGCTATTTTCAGTTTCGGTGTTGCTTACTACTAATTTTAATTGGTGCACAAGTATTTCAATGGATTTTTTAGACAAAGAATATTACTGAATTTAACAAGATTCGTTGCAAAAGCAGAGAAAAAATCTTCGGTCGTGCTTTGTCACCGGTATTACAGAGAAGTACGATTGTTCTAAATTTCTACATGGAGCATTTTTCCTATAAAAATTGAGTGCCGGAAGTGATAACGACACACGAACCATGACTTTGGCATTGCATTAAAAAACTAAAATGAGACTTTCCTTGGTGATATAATGCAACAACTTGAAAATATCACGTTGCACAAGTCAACGTTAAAAAGCCCGTGTTGAGAGGTTTAGTAGATCATTCAGTCACTACCGCAACTCTATACGCAAACTGCTACGACCTCCGCTACATGTACCATAGCGGAGCCGCGTTTTCATGTTTTAGTTGAACGTTTGCAACCCGGTACAGAATATAGCATTAGGAGAGGTAACGCAACGCCACTAGAGGCTCTTTCGGACACTAAAGCTGTTACTGACATTGCATTCCGTCTGTTACACTGTATTTCTCATTGAGCATTTCCTAGAAGGAAGAACGGTCTAAGACGACAACTAGGTTTCCATCGTACTCGTCGTTCCACTTGGCTCGCGACGAGACAGCGTTTGCAGCTCGAAACTGACCCGAAGTTTGGCCCGAGGGCAGTATCTTCCCACCAGTTTTTCGGTCGCATTACCAATGCGCGTGGTCAAAACGAGGAAACAGTAACACGCGAGAATGGCTGCACCGATTAGCATCTGCTAGCAGCACGTGAGGGGCCTGCGAACCAAGGCCGACGAGTTCATGCCCATCATAGTGACAATGAAGTTTGATGTTTTTTGCCTCAAAGAAACTTGGCTCTGTAATGGGATACCCAACTCCAACTGTTTTACACCTAACTGCAAAGTGTTAGTGTTAGCCGGGATTGAGAGTACCAGTTTACTGGTCGAAAGTTTGGTGGTGGTGTTTTAATTGCTACTCAGGCATTCCTTTCGTCACATCGTCGTTTTGACCTGGAATCACATTCTGATAGTGTCTGGTTAGAGATTAAGGCAATCTATGGCTTCAACTATCTAGTTGGAAACTATTATTTTACACCACTTTCCGATGAAGTAACATTCATAAAACATTTTGAGACGCTTAGTAAACAAACAAAGTTTTGGAAATACAGAGTAGAGATATATAGATATTTTATTCTTTCAGGAGTGGACTTGCCGCTGAGGTTAGCTAATTGCAACAAACCTAAAACATAAAAAAAGGCTTCGTGGTTATTGTCGTTCATGGACGACTACAGTGGCCTTGATCAACTTAATTAAAATAAGAATAGCGCTGGAAACGTTCTCGACCTTTTTTTATCTAACGGACCAGTCGATTCTGTAACCCCTGTTATAAATTCCTTAGTGCGAACAGGTGAGTTTCACCCACCATTCGAAATTATCTTCTGCCTTCGACAAAAAAAAAGCCAATATCCTGTAGGTATTCATTATCTCAGCACGTACAGATACTTCGAAAACTTTGATCGGAGCGGGGTTCTTGCAATAACTGACACGGAAATGGTGACAGAAGTTTTTTTCGATTGTTAAAGACGCGTGTGATACTTTTGTGCCTCGGCGAATTTTCGAGCCTTCAATTTATCCCTCATTGTTTTCCAAAGATCTAAAAACTTGCCTAAGTAAAAAGAAAAAAAAAAAAACTTTTACACGTTTTTTAAACGAACTGGCAATATTTTATGGTATACTCAGTTTAGCATTTATCGTGCGCTAGCTAAAAGGTTGTACGCTACAGATAAGTGCCTAAACCTTGACCGAATAGAGCGCAGCTTAAACCTAAGCCCAAAAAATGTTTGGAGGTTTGCAAAACAGCATACGCGCGATTCTAGCCAAACTATTTTCCTACGCGACCGCTCACTTAAAGGGGCACTGACACCCCAAGGGTCGTATTTTTTTTATTGTCTAAAATGATGCAAATTGTAGTCATAGACACGCAAAACAAACCGCATCGCGAAAACATTTTCCCACGCGCGCGCGCCTTTTTATTTTTGGCGTTCTTCTCCCGCTCCTCGCCTCCTCGCTTCTTTAAATCGTGACATCAAAAATAATGAAATTTAGAAGCTTTGTAGGTGACATTTCTATAACATTTAATAACGGCAATCGTAAAACATGTTTATTAACGCAATTGCAAACGCACCACGGCCCTTCTTTTTGAAATACCGAAAATCGGAGTCCAGTGTGATGTCGCTTTCTGGAATAGACCGATCTCACCAGCCAGTTTGACTACGCCACCGCTGCCGCAATGCATCGAGGGAACTTTAGTCTTTGTGCACGTGAGACAAACTCGCTGGAGCTCTGCGCGTGTAGAGCACGCGACGGCACGAGCCCTCTAGAGCGTGCACTGCCGTTCGCCTCCCGTGAACTGAAGTTATGGCGGCGTCACGCATGCGCCGAACGCTTGGTGAGATCGGTCTCGGAAAACATGCCGCCTGGGCAGGCGGCACCACTCGCACGGAATAAAATCGTTTTTTCTCGGTCCGCCAACGCCCTTATCTCCCGCTCCTTTCCTCCTTGCTTCGGGTCGCGGTGGCAACAGCACGGAGTCGTGAAAGAAAGTCGACTCTCAGGACTCCGCAATATTTCACGTCAACGAACCGGCGCGGATCGCGCGGGAACTTCAAATTCGGCATTTGGAAATTGTTTTTTTTTTTTCTTCATAAATACTAAATTCCCAAGTTTGGAATTTTGAGAGTAATGTCCCGGCATCGTTTTCAATCGTTTCGGATAATAACAGAAAAAAAAAATGATTTTGATGTGTCGGTGCCTCTTTAAGGATAGCTATGTTTCCGCCCCTGCAGAGGTTGCAGATATGTTTTCCGATTCCATCAGTGACTGCTGTTCCACCGTTCGACAAGCCGTTCAGCCTTCAAATATTAAAATCAACTGCCGTTACTTTTTGTCAGGTAGTAGATATCGAAGAAATCGCTGAAGCCATAAGAAACTAAAACCAAAATTATCTACTGGAGCTGACTCCATTATATCTTTTATTATTACTGATTGTGGTGAATTGTTTTTGCCTATTTTGAAGCTCGTCTTTAACCTCTCTCTTAGTTCCGGTGTCTTTCCATCGCTTTGTAAGAACGCGGTGTTGTACCTATTTTCAAAAGTGATGACGCCTCTGTTGCTAATAACTGTCGTCCCATATCTTTATTGTCTCGATTTCTTCGGTTTCAACGCGTTATGCATTACCGAATTCATTTTATTTCCACTAAAAATTTGCATATTTCAAGCACGGTTTCCTGACGGGACCGTCAGTTGAAACTAATTGTGTACTTTTTTGTTTTTTAACTTCTGTGCCCCTGTTGTAATGAACAGAGGTCAAATTGGTTTTATGTATTTTGATATGTCAAAAGCGTTTGATAAAGTAAACCACGAGTTGTTATTACATAAATTATCTTTATATGGTTGTTGTGCAGAGCTGTGCAAATGGTTTCAAAGCTACCTATCATGTCGTCCCAACCGTGTTCAAATAGATAATAGTCGCTCGAGGACTTTTTTTTTTTTTCAATTCCGTTCTTCTTCAAGGGTCTATTCTTGGCCCCCTTTTGTTCCTTTGTTATTTAGTGTCGTATGTTGAAAATGCCGTGTTGTTGTTGTTTTTATATGGCATTAAGCTTTTTATGAAAGTTTATACCGTGTCGCGCCTAGTTCAGTGATGTAAAGTGAATAGATTGTCACTGAACCCTCTCAAAACAAATATATTGTCCCTGTGTAGACATCTTAATGTATTCCATAACGATTATGTATTAAAAGAAACTTCAATTAAACGCATCTCTGTTGTAAGAGGCCTTGGCGTGAGCATAGGCCTCTTACATAGCCCCCCCCCCCCCCCCTTTCCCCTTACATATGGCAGCAGTGGCACAACAAAAAAATTCAAAAAGAAAACTAAGAGTAAAGC